TGAAAGTCAAAAGAATCCTTGTGGGTAAATTGCCGTTAAGATTATTTAAACTAGGAAGTGCAAAGGTGCGTTATATTTTTCAAACGTTAACCAACATTTTGAGGTATCAGTTGCGTTATGAATGATCGCTTGGATCGGTGGCGATACTGGTCAGTATAAGTTTTAATCTTAATGTATCACAGTTGCCCCAGAATGCACAGTGAGCAAAATGCATGCAGACGACATAAGTGTTGCCATTAAAAAGGACGTCTTTTTTAGTAGGCCATTTTTCTTGGATATATTTATTAATTGTCCGATAAAATGAGGTTTATTTAATCGAAAAAATGACCAAGTATGCACTTTGTTTCTAATGTTTCTTTTTAGAATACTACGTTAAATGTGAAATTCAATTTAAATAAATGCTATGTTCTGGAACATGTTTCACGCTGAAGTTGCACATTGTTTTGAATCCAAAAGACATAGGGTTTTCAACCTGACGTTCATAGCATTCAGCTTGGAAAAATGTCTTTATCCTGGATTGTATTTAACAAAATTTCGGCCAACATTCATATGTTTAAATTATAAGTTATAATTCCATATGGTAGATTTTGCAAAAGACAATTCGAGCTGTTAATTACAACACATTCGAAAGACTATAAGAACAGAAATGCCATGTGGAACTATTTCTCATTTGCAGTATTTATTGACCAAATGATCTTAATCAGTATATCTGAAACGGTAAGAAAAACTGTAATAGCTAAACACGGTTTTCTGTGTTCGGGAAAGGGGTATTTACAAATTTAAATATGTCAAATATTAACGCATATTATGGATACAAAATAAGCGGTCGGTTTTACATGGCGCAATGTGTAAGGAGTAAAAGACAAGACACCGAATCCATTCTCCGTTTTTCTGGATAGATGAAACACTCTCGTACTCAAATGTATGATAAGCAATTTTAAAATCCCCTTACGCAGTTATTACAAACTAAAATTTTATTTCAGAATTTTAGTTAATTTTTCATGGAAAACGCAAATCTCTATTGAGATATTTTTAAGGTATTGACTAGTATTTATTAATATGTAAGATGGTATATACAAACCGTGTTTCACATTGGGCTTAATGCCATTTTTGTGCTCAAATGCGGTATGGTTTGTATGAAAACTTAGTAAGATTTTGGGAACGTAACCATCAAGAACAAGTTCCAGATGTTAAATTTTATTATAAAAGGGCTTTAGCGTGTATTTTTAAATAGCACAGTTCATTAGCTTGTCTATGCTATCGAGCAGGTCTTTGACAGTTCCGTTCGGGGGTTCATTGATCAACTAAAACGAAGGTGTCCTTGAATTTGTTTTGATTTCCTTACCCAAAACCCCTTAATATGTTCATTTAATAGATAATTTGCATACCACTCTATGTAGCTACTTGTGAGCGCTAATTTAATTACAATGTCGATCCTAAAATTGTTTCATCGTGACGCTTAATGCTTACTGTTTTAGTTTGTCAACATACCATTGTGGAAGCAACGGGCAGCTTTGAGTTAGCAAACCCAAACCAACTACGTCCAAATACCTGCCAGTGGAGAATTTTAGCAAACATTGGAGAATCCATAGAGCTCAAATTTACTCGTATAAATCTGCTCCCCCAGTACTCAGATGGTGTCTGCAATGACGAATACGTTGAAGTTTGGGATGGTTATTATTCCGGATCAAAATTACTTGGTATGTTTCTCTGATCTAACTTGGAACCTCGTAAAACGCAAGCTATCCTCAATAATATTTCCGTATGTTCTGCAGAAGATTGCTACTGGATTTTGATAAATTTTGAGTGGAATTTTCTATTAGGTCGCATTTTTATAAATTTCGGAATTAATTATCATCTAACATAATGATAAGAAATTATATTGCTAGAGCAGTTTTGAACTAAGAGTATGCAAAGTAACGGTTTTACAACTTGATTATTTAAAACTCGGAAGAATTTGTGTTTTTTCTCAAGTCATAATGTCTCACAACAGCAGTATTTAAAGACAAAGGTGCTTAAACTCGCATAATTTTTAAAAAGGTGATAAGGGCAAACTGGCTGATCACTATGGGAACCACCGTTTCTCAATGATACCGATGCCATTTATAGATATTTAGCAAAAAGATATATTCAGGTTATTTGTGAAGTTACCTTTCAAGTACATTTTTAATCAAAATTGCTTGCTTAAGTCAAGGGCCAAGATAAATAATAAAAAAGGAAAATGCTTTCTGCATGAGGGAATCAGACACAAATTGTATCAACAAATCTAATCAGTAAACGTCGCGATATACCCGTCAGTCTTCGGAATTTTTGCACACCCAGTGAACGCGATTTGTGGTATTTCCTAACCATAAATATTAATTACCTCATGCAAGTTCAAGGCTGAAGAATTTGCTGTCTGTCGAACTATGACGAATCGTTTTCCCCAATTTGCTAGCCGTTCCATGGATTTTTTTCTAAAAGAGCTTTATTCAACAGAGCTCTCTAATTGCCGACAATAGCGCAGAAGCGTATAGTTTGTTGATTTCGGGGACGACAACAATTATACAATCTAGTTTGTGAGGTCTTTAAGACGATAATCCTCATTGAAATTTAAAAAAATATATTTCAGTACAGTGGCATACAAAATACAAAACGTTAAAATAAACGAAAACCATAGCATCAACGTGATCGCTATTTTATCTTTCTGTTCATGCAATACATTAGGAAACATGATTTCCGACAGCATTAAAGCAACAATCCAAAAGGCTCATTCAATAATCACGAATGTACTGCAGAAATTACCCATGAAGAATATGTTATTGCATGCACCCACACCAAATGTCTGGTAGGCAATATAACAAGCGAGCCCTTTAAGAGCACTTTGATAACAAACATTTTCACCTGCCATTTTCCCTATTTGTGTAATTTTCAGGTCGGTATTGTGGCCAGACCGTGCCGTACCACAAAGTAATCGCAAGAAGTACAAGGATGCTTATCAGATACAAAAGGTCTGTGACAAGCAGCAGAAGCACATTTAGGGCCAACTACAAAGGTAGGTCCAAATGAACCACGAGAATTGCGTGGTAAAGACGAGAGACTGTCAGAGCTCCCTAAAATTCGCAGCTATTTATAAAATCATTTTAAACATCTAGCAGAGAATCGGACTATTCGTCATTCCGCCCGCACTATAAGTTTAAACATTTCTTTCCAAAGGACCTAAACAACACTTTCTTTGCTTGAATGCATATATTCAAACTGACGCTGAAGTCACCTTCCTTGAGGCGGCCAAGGCGGAGCTATATTATCCAAAAAGCATAGCTACTTACTGCCGCCGAATCTTCTGCCCCGTTTAAGCTTGTTTCATCCGGATCGAAATCAATTGTTAAACAGCCTACAATTAAATAATATAGTTATCGTTCTCTCTTGTGAATCGACGTCCGGTTGCAGATCGGCTAAAAAACTCTGATCTGTGAAAATTTTTCTCCATATATGTGAGTACTTTTTAAGCCAACATTGATGGAGCATCTTGGCGACTTTCGGCCTGGCCTGCAGTTTTAGATCTGGGATGTTTCTAAAACTGCTCTGCTGGATTTTTTGCGTTTTTTGTGTCATTTAAAAATCGTGTCATGAGATGGTGCGGACCACAAAATTGATCTTCTATATTTCATCACGGTTTTACTTGCAAAAACCCAAGGCTAACAGACCAGTAAATTACTTGGTACCGCGTCTACTTTCGCCAACACCGGATGGCCAGATGGCCGAGAAGTCGTCAAGCCTGTGCCTACCGCGCATGATTAAATTTCAGTAATTCAGACCCCGCGTGTAGTTCAACGCTCGAAAGAAACTTATAAACTAGAAGTTATAAAGACACATTTAAGTATATCGGCGCCATAGAGCATATGGGCGTTGGTGAGCAGAAGTTAATCTCAAGCAGCTACAGGACATACCCCGAAAAATTCAGTAAGAAGAATGTGGGCGAACGCACAAGAAAGGTCTGCTATCTTAACTGTGGAAAAAGAAGACGTGTCTGTAAGGCTGTCCTTAGGCAATGTAGCAAGCGAACGGATAATACGATACCAAAAAGCAGTTATCGCAAGCGCTTTTTCCACTGCGTACCTAGGGGTAGTCTGTACGGCTTCTGTTATATGCTTAAGAGGTGGCAACCGATTTTTTTATATTGAAGACCAAATAAATGCGTATTAACCCCTTCACCTGCTCGTGAAGGGCGGCATACATAGGCCTGAAAATAAAGGGTGCGTGAGTTCGATGCCCGTATATCTAGTCGGTTCCAATGACCAAGTTGAGTCCAACCTAACCTCAACGAAAAGCAGCCAACTTTTCTAAGGACATGCAATAACAAGTGCTAGCAACAGCCAAGATTGCGGCCACGCGGCTAGCAAATCCAGTATGACAATGAAACAGGCACTTTCTCCTCCGTGGCCGAAACCAAAATCAGGTGATGATCGCATATCAACCCTACGAATTGATGACAGTTGTTAACTTATTACACTTGTTTGAAAATTTCCCTCTGGGTACTCGATCTATGAACACTTTCCATAACATATCCTACTTCCTCCTTGCCCAATCCAACCACCGCAGTATGCTGGATTGCTTCTGCGGACCGTTTTAAAAAGATGATTATTTACTTAAGGTCGTTTATAAACTCCGTTCAGCGCTCATACTTTCATCATTTATGCATCTATATATATATATATGTTGTCATAATTAACTTTTCAAATTATTTTTAATTTATACTTATCATGAAATATGGGATATATTCGAGTGCCTTCCTCTATTGCATTTAAAAAGCTGTCCGTTTCTTGTATAATTCACGTACAGTTTATTCAAAATTAAACGCAGGGATCTGCAATAGTCTACGTTTTTTACATGCAAAAAGTCCAAACAACAAATAATTATCAAAAGCAGGCACTTTTTCATAAAATCTGAATAAAACTTAAATAAAATATTTAAGATTTCACCGGTTTCAAAAAAATGTGTTGGCTTGCCAATGAAGCAGTAATCTTGTTGAACGTTTAGGTTTACGTTCCTATTTATCATGAACTATGCTACAAAACTATACGGTATCATTGTGTCTTTTCTTTTCTAGTGAATTGCGACACCACACTAAATGGTCCCGAAGGCACCTTTACGAGTCCCGGTTACCCCACTGACTATCAAGCAAACAAGCAGTGCGTTTGGAAGATCCAAGTTCAAAAGCATCATGGGATTGTCCTCGAATTCGAGGAATTTAAAGTTAGTGTTCACTTTTCTTCGTACTAAGTCAAGGAACGTAAAGCTGGGCAGTTTTAAGTAGCCATTCGTTATCTTTATGACAAACGGGAGCCAACTCCGTTTTGTCTATTGTAATTAAGTTAATTTCACTTGTCCAATTTCTTATCCGTTTAGGTGGCTTCTAAAGCCCAGGATGGTTTCCCTGTCGGTACTGTTGACCTTAATGCCAAACAAAGGCGCATTACTAAGGTTTGTTGTAGAAGAATGGTATGAGCTGATTTACTTCATGCGAACGTCAAAGCATTCGTATCGTGAGTAATTGCCGAATATTAGCCTGTAGCACAACCCCATCTGTTGCACAACAGAAAAGGAACTCTGTAGGATTCCTATAGGGCCAATTATTCGCCCTTGTATGATCCCTTCGGAATCTATGCTGCGTAAGAATACCAATGGTTGACAGGAGTAATGGATTGGCATTCTCAGATCGCTTACATGTCTAACTCCCCCTGTCGTCCTTGAGACTCGTCCTTAAGCCTCGCCAGCAGATCTGCAACTGCCAATGATACAGACAGAATGACATTACTGACAAAGACAACTACGACTGTAGTGCCAATACAAGCGAACATGAAAGTCCCAGGAATTAACTGAGAAGAAGATGACTTGATCGCCGGAACCGTACATTTATTCGGCTGACGTTTCCAGATCCGTCGCGGATTTATCATCAGAGTCATAAGCAGAAAGCAGCAGTAGATAAGGGTAGCAGATGCACAGGATTTCGCAGTATTTATAGGATACATTCACTAATGCAAACATACAAAACAATTAATGGTAATTGCCTTCTTGCGCGTTTATAGTTTGTGAACCGGTATGCGGTCTCTGGCTTACTAAAATTTCGTCACGCATGGTGTTGGCGTAGAATGATGACGAGCGATCCCGTACGTCAAAACATCTCGGCGGCTGTCGACCATCTTCTCGCACCACTTGGAATTAGATTCGCACACAGGCCAGAGGCAACCATAAGGCGCCAGATAATAAAATCGAAAGACCCACTACCAAGGCAAGAATTAGCTGGAGTCGTTTACAGGATCTGGTGCAGTTGCGGACACAGCAACTATGTGGGAGAAACTGGCGGACTTCTCAAGACGCTAATTGCTGAGGACACGGCAGCAGTGCGGTGAAATGATGCCAACTCCCAAGTTACGCCTCATTCAACAAGACTCAGCCACACATTCATATTTGATGAGGCCGAAATTCTCACAGGAGGAGACAATCACGTGAGCCGAGAATTACTACAGTCAATGTTCATGGCCCCCCAATCCCTAAACAAGTGCAACGATTTGTCCAATCCAAATTCGGTGTTGAGACTCAATTTGGCCAAAGCGTGACGCAACTTGGAGAACGGACAGTCTACCGCGTCATCTTACGCCAACACCGGAGGTCCATGTGGCCGAGCAGTTATCAAGCTTATGTCCACCAAGCGTGATGAAATTTCAGCAAGTCAGAGCCCGCATGCGGGTCAACAGGCCATCACGCGCAAGAAGGCAATTACCATTAATTGTCGATTTATGTTTGCATCTACCGCCCCGTATCTGCTTCTCCTTTCTGCTTATATTTATTGATGACGAATCCGAGACGGATCTAAAATCGTTAGGCTAATATAGTTATCTTCTTTTCAAAAAAAAGGTTTTGCTAAAGAACAATCATTCTGGCGTGAATAAGATATTTTGAGGTTTTGCATTAAGTTAGTTCCCGTTACATCCCCGTTTAAGTGACTTTTTTCTTATTTTCGATATGTCGCGTGCTAGAACCTTTGGTGCCGCAATACCTGGCGTTGTCAAGTGGTGGATGATAACGGCTAACAGACCAGAAATGTTCAATACATTTCCCCTTGTCCCTATCGAGTAGCGAGTACCAACAAAAATGACAGCAGACCTACGTGAATATTTCTAGCTTTGTAGCCGACATTATAAGCCAGTCACTCTTCTGGGTCAAAAGTTACATTTCAGAATTAACTCGTTGTCCTGCTTCCCGCAATGCCATATTCGGAAGTCCTCAGAATTTTATTGACGCACCTTCACATCGGTACGACCGGATTTGACTATGTGTTTTCTCGTCCTCTGTAAGTCTCAAAAACACTCGATCGCTCACATCGTTATGACTCCAGCAGCTTCGCCGGGTCAAAGAACAATTACCTGCCCGCTGAAGGTTCATAATTTTACAGTCCAACAGCAACTTGCTTGCATAGGCTGTGGCTATTGAGTCTGTTGACGTTTCTGGGTTGGGCAGACATTACTACGCACCTGCTTGGTTTACAGTAATTGTTGGATATTTAGATGTTGTCAATGTTTGTAATTCTACCGACACTTGTTGATGAAATATCACCGGGCGCAAACGGAACTCACTTGTCTTGCCCAGCCTTTGCCATGGGCCTCTTTCCTGGGGCCCTGACAGCAGCTGTTGCAACGAGTAGCTTAGGCAGATGGTATTGTTGGCAAAGACAGGGGAGACTGGGTGGCCATTCCTGCCTTATTAGCCGTCGTCAGCCAGTCATATCCAGACTCAAGTGGGGCACCACCCAAGTCTTGTGCTCGCAACCTTTTCATCAGAGTCCAATGCCATAATTTTACTTACGGAAATATGATAATTGCCATAAGAAAACTATCCATTTTTCTTACCTTTAATATATTTAAAATCATGTGGCAAATATGCTGCCTAATGTATTCCCTAGACACCTGTTAAAGGTCAACATAATCAAGGAAACCCTTAGCTAACACATATCAGAGATCACAACAGGCACACTACTCTCTTGATTTCAGTAGATCTGTTATGTACACTAAATGTGCTTCAAGTGAACACTTCACAGTGGAAATGCAGTTAATGTGCTAATCTTCTAACATTTTTTTTAAATTCTTATTTTATATATAAATTAGGTTGAGGGACCACGCAACTGCTCGTCCGACTACGTAGAAGTTTTCGGCGGCCCAACGGTTGATTCTCCCTTGCTGCGCAAGCTTTGCGGGGAGAGCATTACAAAGCGTATATTGTTAAAAAAAAATGTGCTGACTGTGCGCTTCACCAGTAATGGTGCAATTCAAAAACCCGGGTTTCTGGCTAATTTTCGTCAAGGTTAGTACTTTCTAAGACAACGAATATTACTACACACTAAATGCAAGATAATAGCTGGAGTAAAGTCACAAAGTTGTAGCTCTGCAGGTGGAAGAACTGGTTCTCTGTGAATTGGCGCTGTGCCTCATCGGATTAATCACTGCGCTGACTTGATTTAAATATTTCAGTATAATTCAGTATATATTTAGAGTAGTAGGTAATGCTTTTGAAGACCCAATTGAAAACAGTATGCATAACATATCCAACATAGAATATGTCACATGTACAATTTTATCTATAAGTTTGACCAATGCATCAGTGACTCCTTACAATGCTTTCTCGTGCATATGAATGGTATCTTTTAAGTAAATATACATCCAGTTTGCGTTTTAAAGGATCTGTGGAGTTCGCAATTTTGACCTCCTGGGGCAGTCCATTTAAGCCACCGCTGTGAGAGCGAATGTCTGCGGATATCCAGACGGGTTAAGGTTCCGCGGAGTTTAAGAGAATTCCCGCGGAGGTTAGTAGATGTGGCAAGTGCGAAGAAGTCATCAAACTGAAGGGCACAGTCCCGATTCCCCACGATCTTGTACGTCTGTATGAGATCACGTCGGATTTGCCTGTACTCAAGAGGAAAAACGTTAAATGCTACTAGTGTGCATTCGTAAGATGAGAACTTTAGGCCCTTCGCGATTTTTTTGCCCTCCTTTGGACTTTTTCCAGGATCTGGTAGTCTTTTTGCAGCCATGGGCGACACGTTTGAACTCCATATTCGAGATGTGAAAGAATAAATGTACCACAAATTTTTCTGAGTAGTTCTTTATCGATGTGGACGAAAGTTCGCTTAATGTCAAACAGAACACTGTTTGCCGTCTTGGCAGCCCTAACACCCTACAAAGACGACTTCAGGGAGTGCACAGTTGTGATTGCCTGGCCTTTTTGTTGGGTATCGTTCGACTTGCACCTGCCATAAAATGACACAGAGATCATGTTTCTGATCCTGAATATACCAATGCCCTGCCAGAAAATGTTATCCTATTTGACATAATGATGCATCTTCCTGTGCCTTGGTTTTCATTTGCACAAACAAAGCAGTTATATCGATATCCCTAAAATATATCGCTACAGTTTATGACAACAGTTACCTCGGCAGACGTTTAAGACCACACTTGTGCGCTCCGCGAAATGCTTGATAAGCACTGTAAAAGTAGACAGCCGAAAGCGGCCTTGATCCTCTGGTAGCCGACATACGTGAAGCCGAAAAAATGTGCTATCTTTCCCGGGAATTGAACATGTTTGCTGTTTCCTGATGACAAGAAATAATCCAGGTCAATCAGATTCTGGTAGTCGGCTATCATAATTAGACATCCACTGGCACATAAGTAGACTGATTGTGGCCCAGTATAC